GCAGGAGGCTACACACCATTTCTTCACATTGTGGATGTACCTCACTCTGTGGGGAGAAAATATTTGTTATTTGACTATTCACATTAGCAGGCTGGAGAAGGAATTCTCACACATCCAAGGGATATAAAACTCCAACAATCAAGCACTACAGCTATTTTACCTCACTCAGCTCACAGATGCACTAAAATTATGTCTGGTCTGTAAAAACTAGAGGAAGGGACAAGCTTTCTATTTCTTTTATTTTCATAAGTGCAAGTATTATTCCAAAACAGTAATGGGGGAAGGGGGAAGAGGGCGACACTTCTCAAAAACTTGCTACATAGAAAAATATGGTCAAACTTCAAGCTACGCTAAGATGTGTTCAAATGTTTTCCAAGTAATTTTCTTGTACTGCAAAGAGTATCTCTGCCTCTATGCCAAATTTTTATGCAGAGTTCAATGTGGCTTTTCATCCTTTGGGAAAGGTAAGAGAGGTTAAAAATCTCAGCCTTGACTTTTTAATATATCTATTTTAGTTCTTCACATCAGATTATAACAGTGTTACAAAAGAAGACTTCACCTATACTAGTTTCCTTTATTTTCCTTAGTATGTGGTAATCTATTCCTCTAAAACTTTCAGGTTTAATAATTACGAGAAGAGTCCAAACTGGTGCAGAGCTTCTCACAAAGCTGCCTTCAAAACAATGCACAGAAATGCTATATACCTAAACTCCACCACCTAGAAAGACAAGTAACCTCTTGCAGAAGTCAATGCTGTCTTCATTTCCTAGCACCTTTGCTGTGGTGGGGCTTACAAAGAAAGCTTTTCTTTTCTATGCAGTAGTTCTTCAAAGAATTTAGAAACACAGGCCTGGATGGGCCTCCAGTCCCTGCTAGTGATGGGAACATTTTTATTATTTTTTTTTTAAATCATCTTTGTAACTTGCATCTCAAAAGAGGGATGAGAAAACTTGGATGTTTTCTACATCCAATACTTATTCTTCTTAATGCTGCCACACACTGTGCTCCATTATGTGTCTAGTGCTGTACTAGTGCCAAGAAGAGAAGAATGAAGACAGAAGGGAAAAGAAAGCAAAGCTGAAAGTTTGGTGGGAATTAGTTTTCCTCTGTCACAAACCAATAGCTAAATTTAACTGCTTATTTCACTGGTGGTGGTGGGGTGGTGGAACAAAACCAAAACAGCCCTATTGCTTATAACACAACAGGAATATCTACCAGGATATTTGCCAGCTTAACAAAATACAAGTCAGAATTCTTCCTCTTTCCAGATTACGCCCAACCCAACTGAGATCGCGAGGGAACTCCTCCCTTACCTTTTATCATACGACTTGTGGTAGTGGTCAGCAACCTCGTCCAAAGGAGCAGGATCTGCTACGCTATGCAATGTGCAAATGCAGAACATAAAGATGGGCCCTGTCTGTAGAAAATAACTTCTCCAGCCTTCCACAGATGACTGTGAATTTCCTTCCTCATTTTCTAATTCCAGAGACCCTGCCCCAACACCACACAGACAATTCTGCCAAAAACAAAACATCAGGAAATTTAGCAAGAAGAAAATCTATCTAACAGCTAAGAAACCACAGTGCAGCAGAATATATCTCCTTGCATTATAAACGGTATGTGTCTTACTTTTGTAAGTGTATTATTAAATGTGTATTATTGATGGTATGTGTCATACTTTTATGCCACATTGTAAGGACAGAGATGGAACCTTGCTTCAGAACTCTCGAAACATGTTGACACCATACTGCTGACCTCACAATTCATTTCAAGCCAATCTAGTATCATACAAATCACAAGTCTTCAACTATGTAACATTTTGGAAGTGATCTTCCACTACTTCTGTGATGTTTCCACAACTGTCCGAGAGGACAAACTGGGTTTCTGAGTACAAAAATGAATGAGACAAGACTTGAGAACCATGTTACTGAGTCAGCAGACCCCACTACTCAGTGACAGAGCACTCTATTAGCAGAACTGATATAACCTGGTTGCTTACAGATTTCCAGCTCCCAAAACCAGTATTTTGTCCTTTCTATGGAGTATTCGCTATTTCACGCTATGGTCCCAGCTCCCATATTAATTGCACTTCCTGATATAATACCTCTGGATACTTTCCACCTCCCAAAGTCCACACTGCAAATATTTTTTCTAGTCCACATTCCTCTTCTAACTGAGGAAGAGAAGAAGGAAGAGGACCTGAAGACCAGGCAACACATGTTATTGCTGATGTGAGATGATTAGCCTGCTGGCTGGTACTCTCAGCTGCCAGGCCAGCCAAAGAGGAGAAAAAAGGCTGAAGCCTTCATTGCTTTTCCTTTTCCCTCTTCCCAACATCAACTTTCATGCTGAAATCACTGCCCCTCCATCACAGCTGACTGATACTGTCCAATGAGTTCAAGAGTTACCAGAGCAGTAAATTAACAGAAAGACACAATCATAAGCTTTCATCTCTCAGCAAACAAGGCTAACCAAGGTTACTGTCCCATATTATTAGCACCCAAAGAGCTTTCCAGTGAGGCACTCCTTCCAGGGGAAAAAAGAAAATAAATCAGTAGCATGTAACAAAAATCACAGCCATTATCTTTTCTTTTTTTAGATTCTTTGATAATTTCTCTGGCTATGAAGTACAGGACAGAGGATGTTCTGCTGCTTGCAAGAAAACAAATTTGCATGGCGTTTCCTGCATGTCTGCTTTTGAAGTGGAAAACTGACTGCTCTATTGCTTCCCAAGACTGGCCAGTATTCTAATTCAGAACGAGTATCCTCAATGTGATTAGTGAGTAATTAGGTCAGACTTTATAAATGAAAATGTGAGTTTAGACTAAGTGAAAGATCTCTTCCAGTCATTTATAGTAAGAACCTGAAAGCTGGCCCTTTGCCAAAGAACAAGTGTAAAATCAGGCTGCTGATAGACTCTCAGTAAGACATTATCACAAGCTTCTGATGAATGATACACAGAAGGCTGGACAGAATGAACGACACTTTGCTTGCCTTCTAAGAATTTGCTTTCACTTGTTTTAACTATGAGTCATAAATTCTCATTCCCCTCTTCAGGACTAGCAACTCAATTACCATACTGAGCCTAAATGTGCTATACAGGCAACAAGAAGATCTATGAAATAATACTCCATGAACTAAATGTTTATCGCTCGACAGAAGCAATACTCTCTAAAAATGTGTTCAACTGGTTCAAAAGAAACAGAAAGCCCTAATCCTTATTTTGATTTTCTATTGTCTGGTCTTGACCAAGACTCATCATTATCTCTACAAAATGGTAAAAATTATTTTATTGGGGTGTTGTGAAGTTTGGATTTTGTAAAGAATAGAACAAGTAATTACACTCAGCTTCTGTAAGAGGGCTTTTGATATTCAGTGTTTGCATTGTATGCCCAGAAAAGAGGCTTTTGATAGTCTCTCTTAGGTAGTGCACAGGTAGTTAATCATCTGATGTTGGCAAACATGGTTCTGAAGAATAAAAAAGCAAACTTCTAAATATTTTATTAATCAAACAAATTAATAAAATGTTAAAAAAAACCCAACCCAGCCAGTGTATACTCTATAAATTTGCTTTAAAAAACATTCAAAACAATGGACTGACCAAATATTTCTTATTTAAAGTTCAGAAAAATATCTTCTGGTGACACAAATGCTCTAAGGTCTGGAAAGTTCACTTATGCCCTGCCATCTGCATACAAGAAACTCTTTCAAAGTCTACATGAACTCAATCACGATAGGATGTAAGAAAGGAGAGAGGAGGTCACTGTATAGAGAGGTAGGGGCAAAAAGAATTGCTGTTTCCCAGACAGGAGCTGTTGCTCAGTATAAAGTGCAGATACTCCAAAAATGTTTTTAATGACAGCTCAAGATTTTTTTTCTTTTTTATGATCTTAATACTGTTTTGCACAGTATGTTTAAACATTTGCAATATTGAAAGAACATTTTTTTAAAGGAATGAGTCTGGTTGTAACAAACAAGTACCTGTGAAGGTGTCATTAGCATCTCTCTAGATCTGTAATCAAATCTGAGTATCTCTTTCTAAGCAGTATTTGACTAGTTTGTATTGCTCTGTGTGGACAGTACTCCATTTTGGTTACTAATGTTTACTATTATCAGTTATCTATCACAGGTGTCAGTGTACAGCTTTCATGGATTCTTCTGCTCTGTTTTAGCAGTTATCTGCAGTGTATGAAATGGGGATATAACTGATTCATTCATCCTTTTAGCATCAGAAGTATCTACAGTAACCATACTAGTTAAAAGTCCAAAAACTGAAACAGGAAAACCTATAACAGAAAGAGACAGGGACTGCTGAGCTGCTGCTGAACTGACAGAATACAGAACCTGTAGCACAGACATGACCATAATTACTGATTTGTGTGCAATGTGGCAAAATCAGCACACTTGGCTTTTCTGTGTGCTTCAGTCTGTTGTGTATTACTTTATGACTCCCTGGCCTAGAATTTTTTCCCATAAGCCTTTGTGGGGTTTTTTTTGCTCTGTTTTTAATAGGAAAAAAGTGTGAAAATAGAGACTTTTTCCCTTCTGTAACAATAATGCTACGGAGTTACCTATACTAAAGACAAAACATTACCTGGTAACCTCACTGTGACATTGCTATCTTCCTTCCCAGGCAACGTAACAAGAATTTCAGGTGCCAGCGCAGATTCTCATTAAATTTAGTAGTGTTTAGCTGAAAGCAATACCAAGAATAAGCTAGATTCAGTGTGCTAAAGACCAAAAAAAAAAAAAGAGAGAGACAGAGATGCCTTAAAGGTATCATTACTTCACAAATACTTCAGATTATTTCAATATTCTCTTCTAGTTTTGAAAAGTCAGATGACATTTATAACAACTGGAAAGGTCTCTGGGACTTCTGCTCTCGTTCGAGAAAATAGAGACAGATATATTCTCTTCTCATTAGCATCCTCTTTTGTTTCCTGTCTCACAGGGAGATCTCTTCCAAAACTTTGCTTATATAGTCACCATATATTCCCCAGTCACATCATGTCCAGCTGCAAATAAAAGAAACAGATTTGGAAGAAGCAGCATTGAATTCAAGTTATTTCTTAAGTGTGTTTAGCACTTAGAAAACAAAGCAAATTCAGAAATCCTTATCGTGCAACATAAATGGACTGCACAGAACTTGATACTAAGCTGCTATAAAGTACAAAAACAAACCTAAAAATCTCATCTTCACGTAATCATATGTGCAATTTATAGATTTAAAAACATACAGTCCAAAAGTAGGAATCTGCCTGCTATTGAAGCTTCTTTAAAACTGTCTACACCATCATCTTAAGCCTTGGAGACAGATTTGTAATGACTCAGCCTGTGAAAAATGGCTAAAATATTTATTAAAAAACCTCCTGAAATCCTTGAATTCCAGCAAGCCTAAATAGAGAAGGCTAATTGAGAAGATTAAAACACCTTTTTAAAAATTATCTTCAGTTTTCAACCCACATAAATAGTCATTCTAGATCTACAAGCGTTGTTAAATGCTATTATAGTAAATTCTAACAATCTACTATCAAATGAGCAGCATCACTGACTCTTTTGAAACACACTAGAGGACACATTTAACTTACGTAAACACCTGTGTTACTATATAACACAGTATTTGCCATCATGAAATTACACACTTGGTTATGTTTCACAATAGCAAATAAGTAATTTTACATGGTTCTTTACTGACTCAATTCCTTAGGTGTTTTCTAAGCCATGCACTCTAATCTACTCTTTTAAGTAACACTCTCTCTCTCTCACTGCACCTTTCAGTTACAGTTTAATTCTAAAGCCACATTATGTCTTTATGGTACTTACCAAATCATCAACATCACCACCTTCATCTGTGGGAGGCAGAGTTTCATTTTTCTTTTCTTCCAGAGCCAAAAACTGAAAACACAAATGTATTTATATGATACTGACCAAACTCAGACCCTTAATGTTAAATTAACAGAATGTCTCCTTTGTATATGAAAATGAATCCACCTGTAATTAAAAATTATGAGTGAAGTTTGTTCTGGTTTCCACCCTCCAAAGTAATCATAAAGTACAGGAGATTTCCTAAGACTTGCTTTTAAAGGATTTTATGGTGAGGTGTGTTGAATAACAGACAAACAGATATGGTTCTTCAGACAATAGTTAAGCTGTGGAACACCCTGTAATGAGGATACTGCAAATACTAGTTCCTAGTCTCACAAGGAGGTGAGGAAAGTTCATAGAAGAGAAACCCTTTGAAGTCTACTGAGACCACAGAAACAACCTCAAGCACAGAAAGTACTTGAGACTCCAGTGGCTGCAGCCTGGGACTGTACACTTTCCCCTACCCATCTTTGGGTAGTTATTTGTAGTTATTATAACTAAACCCAGTTATTGTCCACTGTCAAACATGGGATTCTGGGCTAGATAGAAATTTTGTCCATTACAGTATGGCCATGGTTACATTCCTAAAAAAGATACCAAAATCTCTTTACCAATATCCTTACTATAAAATCATAAATTTTTTTTTTCATATTAAAATGCACCAGAACAAGTACACAGAGCCAGGAACAACCCTGCCTCAGATAAAAAGACGTTTGAGAAAGCTGGGAAGGCAGAAAAGCCACATTCCATGACTTTTTAGTTTCATCATCCTTAATTCAGAAACAACTTCACTATAACTCTACATGATGAAAGAGAACAGCTAGTTAGAAAATAACCACATTAAACAAATTGTATATACCTGTTTAGAGTTTAGGTAACTCTTTTATGCAAACAGCTGGCTCCTGAAAGCAAGCTGCTGTTTACCTGAGGACTTCAGCTATAACAGCCATAGAGGTTTTGTAAAAGGTCATGGGATCCCTATATCAGAGCAATACCAGTCTCTGAGACAATACACTTGTACTGTAAAAAGCTTAAATATTATTTTACATAAATAAAATGTTCTAATCCTTCTCTAAAGCAATAGTGACAGTTTTAGACACGGGGTAAAAAACTGAGAAGTTACCTGCTGCATCCCATTTGTAGTACCAGATATCATATCCACTAGGATGAAAAGCAAATACATTGCTTTTGGTTAACACCAAAAGTAGATGTTATCCAAAAGAGGATGTAGACAATCTCTGCCTAGTTGTCTCAGTACCCAAAGGTCAGACCTTTCCTGCATCCTAAACAGCAACATCCAAAAGGCATGTAGAAAGCTTACTCCACAGACAACGCTGTTAAGTTTTAACATGCTGACTTCAACTTATCATATAGATATTGCCGCTGAAAAAATAAAAATGAGAAGGTAACAAGGCCAGAAGAAATTAGAATTTCAAGATGCTGTATGTCTGTGTATCTTTTTTGCTGGAAAAGTTCTCAATCTAGTAGTATTATAAAGCACATATTATGAAACCAAAAGCTAATAACATTGTCAGCTCTGAAAGGCTTTTTGCGCCAGATCAAATTTCATTTTACAGTGTTAATTGAAGTCAAATGGTATTTCTGAAAGTAGCATGTTTTTCAAAGTTTTCAAAATGAGCTTTCCCACACTAAATTAGGTAAATAAAGCTAAAAGCTAAAGAAATGTATGATGATTTGCAATAAATTGAAACCTGAAGTCTCCATCAAATGCTGAACATCCAAAGTTGGGGTTTTTTTCCAAAACCTGTATTATATGTAATTTGCTTTTGCATAAATGTAATAGTTGTGCTGAAATTCATTATCTTCCTCAAAGCAACCAGAAAAAGCACTTGACGTTTCTGCTATTTCAACCTATCATCCTCATGCTATAAAAAGAGTATATCACAGAAGCATAGAATCACACTCATGAAGGCTGGAAAATACCTTTAAGATCATCAAGTCCAACCATCAACCCAACACCACCAAGCCCACTAAACCATAGCCCAAGAGTACCACGTCTACATGATTTTTTAATACTTCCAGTGATGGTGGCTCCACCACCTTCCTGGGCAGCCTGTTCCAATGCTTGACTACCCTCTCCGTGAAGAAATTTTTCCCGATATCTAGTGTAAACTTCCCCTGGCGCAACTTGAGGCCATTTCCTCTTGTTCTATCGCTAGTTACTCGGGAGAAGAGACCAACATCCACCTCGCCATAAACCCCTTACAGGTAGTTGTGGAGAGCGATAAGGTCTCCCCTCAGCCTCCTCTTCTTCAGGCTGAACAACCCCAGTTCCCTCAGCCACTCCTCATAAGACCTGTGCTCCAGACCCCTCACCAGCTTCATTGCCCCTCTCTGGATAGTGAGGGGCCCAAAACTGAACACAGGATTCAAGGTGCGGCCTCACCAGTGCCAAGTACAGGGGCACAATCACTTCCCTACTCCTGCTGGTCACGCTATTTCTGATACAGGCCAGGACGCTGTTGGCCTTCTTGGCCACCTGGGCACACTGCTGGCTCATGTTCAGCCGGCTGTCAACCAGCACCCCCAGGTCCTTTTCCCCTGGGCAGCTCTCCAGCCACTCCTCCCCAAGCCTGTAGCGTTGCATGGGGTTGTTGTGACCCAAGTGCAGGACCCAGCACTTGGCCTTATTAAACCTCATACAGTTGACCTTGGCCCATCGATCCAGCCTGTCCGGATCCCTCTGCAGAGCCCTCCTGCCCTCCAGCAGATCAACACTCCCACCCAACTTGGTGTCATCTGCAAATTACTGACGGAGCACTCAAACCCCTCATCTAGATCATTGATAAAGATATTGAACAAGACCGGCCCCAGAACCGAGCCCTGGGGAACACCGCTTGTGACCGGCCACCAGCCGGATTTAACTCCATTCACCATGACTCTCTGAGCTTGGCCATCCAGCCAGTTCTTTACCCAGTGAAGAGTACACCTGCCTAAGACACGAGCTGCCAGTTTCTCCAGGAGAATGCTGTGGGAGACTCTGTCAAAGGCTTTACTAAAGTCCAGGTGGACAACATCCACAGCCTTTCCTCTCATCCACTAGGCGGGTCACCTGGTCATAGAAGGAGATCAGGTTGGTCAAGCAACTGGTCATCTCCACTATTACAGAAAAAAAACCTCAGCCTACCTAAAATAATTTTTCTCAGTGATAGGAAGCTATGCATGAATAATGTACCTCAACCAAAAAGAAAAATTTGACCTGTTACCTTTCTAATAAGCAGCCTTGTAAGTCCTCCTTTCTCCTTCAAACAGCAACCCTATAAACCTGAAATCTTATATTGAAAACAGTCCTGAAACTGCTATCACTAGCATCTGCACGTAAGAGAAAAGGCTTTTGTGACACACAGGAACCACACTGACAGCCAATCCCTTGACCTACATGTTTGCATATGACCTATTACAGAGGTGAAGAAAACCTGCATTTTACTCTATTGTTTGATTTTTTAAAAGATCCAATATAACCCTTTAGTGAAGGGTATCACCTTCAGTATAGAAAACAAATGAACCATTTTTGCAACCTACTACAGACCTAGGAAAATGCTGGCTTTGTATCACACAGGAAATCTGTGGCAGGGTTTAACTGGACCAAGGAGGACTAGATTTTAGATCAGCCCCCTAACCTCGAGATAAAATTTTCTATCCCTGCAGATCTTACTCCAAGAATATCCAGTCTTCCAGTTTCTTAAGTAAAAAGTCATATAAACCTTCAACAGACAATGGCAAATCAGGGTTCCAGTTTTGGATCTGGAGAGTGTGTGGGGAGGTGGTTATCTAGTGAATAACTGGGATTGCCAGCCACCTAGTTAGCAAAGAGATGCAACCCATTTATTCTTAAAGTCAAGGTAACAGCCATGTTAGAGAACTCTGTTGTCGAGCTGATTTCATGCAATCTCTCTTATTCCCCTAAAGGGAAGTTAACGCTGTTGTAGAACCTTCAATCAGTCATAAAAGAATTTCCTATATTGCAACATCTGGCTGACTGCAGGTTGACATTAAACAGAAAAGTAATTTTGAAGTCAGTCTACAAATGCTTTGCTCCAGCTTAGGCTGGCAACTGTTAATCTAGTCCTTGGTACTCTAAAATTTGTGCTGCATTCCTCTACAGGCACAGTAGTTTTTAGCTGCCACAAGCTCACAGTTAAGACAACAGTATGCTGTAAGTCGAGATTTCCTTAAGGAATAGTCGCTATTTCACACAGCATTAGCACACTTGGAGCATCAATGGTAGTTTCAGACTAAAAAGTGAAGTTCTCAAGAAACATATTGTCTTAGGAAGTTTCCAAGTAAATTCATAGCATCTGGAGTATGTAAAAAAAGCTGATACTCTTTAAAACCAGCACTGGGGAAAAAAGTTGCTCTATACAATTATGTGTGATGCCAAACAGCCAGTAGGTCCTTCATGTCTAGAAAAAAAACATATTCTGCCATTTGTACTCTGTACATGTGCTTAGCTTGCTGCACTCTCAGTTTGTTAGCTTTTCATTTTCAGGACATTTCTGTGTCTTCTTCACCTTGAGGTAAATTGTTACAGATGAAAAAAGCAGTTTCTAAAATACAACCTTTTACCCACTCATTAACTCACTCATGGAGAACTGACTTCCACCCCTTCTAGTTATTGCTAATGTAAGGCCTGGAAGTTGCAAAAATCAATGTGGCATCTTTTAGAAAAGCTGCTTCTCTTGAAAAGTACTTAGTGATTTTAGCCACAGGTTTACCTTCAGGGGTCTGTAATACAAGGACCTTCTTTCTCCTACACTATTTAAAATCAAGGTCAGCAGCCTGATATAAGAATGGCTGCCTTATCCTCTCCACATAAATATGATTTTTGACAGCAACTCTGACTTCTGCTTTCTTTCAAACAGAAGGCACCATTCTGCCTGTTAGAATTCGCTCCTTTGTAACTGTAACATCCTTCATTCATCACTGCAGTTACTGAAGTGTTGTATTCCTGTAGAGAGAATACCTGCAAATACTCCAAAAACTTTTGTTTCCAAAAGGATCCAATATGATCACAATATTAATAGCAGCAGCATCTATGATGTCCACCAATCCACAAGAGCTGCATAAAGTGGAAAATACAGCTATCATTGCGTATATGGTGAAAACTAGCCATAACAACTTCATATTGCTAGAACTCATAACACCTTTAGACAAAAAAGTATCCCTAATCTTGAACTCATGTGATAACAATGAGATCACAGTTCTTTCTATGAAGTTCAGATAGTGATTTTGCATACATAAACAGTCTATTGCTGTTCCACTAAACTGAGTGCCTGAAGTTCATATTCTTTGTAGAGGATATTTTCAGATAATGATGTCAATACATGCTACTTTCTAAAGACCAATTAAAGCAAATGCTGTGGCACATGCTAGGGAATTATTTTTGTTCTGACTTGGGGCAATTTCAATTGTGTGGCAAAAGGACACTCTTCTTCCTTCTTATGAATCCTATTTCATTTATCTGAAGATTTATCCACATCAAGAAAGAACCTTCTGTTCCACAGCATGAGCTCTATACAAATAGATGCTCATTAAAAAAATGATACCTTTTCAGCCTCTTCACTAGTCACCAGACTTCCCTCTGCTTCATCTTTAGTGATCAAAGAAATTCTGTCTAAAAAAAAGGAGATATAAAAATATCATTAGAAGGCTTCCCAAAAACGCACTTGATGTTAAAAGTGAAATGAAATGAAGTCTTCCAACTTCTGAATGTGTCATCAGCACCAGCAAAAATGAAAAAAAAAATATTGCTCAAAGGAAAATGTGACTTGCATAAATGAGTCAACTATGGTATAAAAATAAATTAATGAGCATATTCATAAGCTTGTGGAAGTATCCATTTAGGAAACTGCTAATATTATGACAATCAAACTAATGAGACACTGAAATCATAGAACACAGATGAAATGCTGAAAATCTACCCGAAATTACACTTTTAGTCATTCTTAGCATGCTCTTCAGTCCTTAATAGCCTTAGAAAAATTAATTCCTAACATACAAACACTTATGCTGTGATTACCTACACTCTGACTACCAAAGTGTTGGTCCTGCCCCTGCTTTGCTCCTTTGTTGTGGCAGCACCACCATCCTGTGCAGTGACCCCCAAGAAAAAAATATCTCCATTACTTTTTACCCCAATAGTTTTTCCAGTCTAGCTCATCACCTGGCTACACAAATGCTTGTGCCTGAATAAAGAATCTGTGGGTGCAAGAGCAAAGAACAATAAATTCATAAAGGTTTCAGCAGCAGCACAAGCATAATGCCACCTTAAAGTGCTCATATAACTACATGGCAGGGTTTCAGGAGACATGTAAGCTTGTCAGATCTGCCTTACTCCTGAGCCACTAATTAACTCACATCCATCCCCTTTCAGTGATTGCAGTCGCTCAGGACAAGGCCCAATGCATACCACATTTGGTAGAAAAGAGGGCATGGGTCATGTGGCAAGAAGCAGAGAAAACTTCTGCTTACGGCAACAGCGAGCGAAAAGCAGTTTTTCAGCTACCTACTGAGAGGAGCTAGATTATGCATAAAGCACCATGATTTTACCATCTTCTCACAAGAAGATAATCTATTTTGTATGAAAGTATCAGGTTTGTATTTGTAATTTTTTTTTCCTCAAAAATATACTCCAGTTTGTTAAAAACTCTGGTTTGTACCAGCTAAAAATTATTAAAACAGTATTCTAGCATGGCTTTGGAAGAGCCAATTTTCCTACTTTCAAAGTTTGTTGGTTTTTTTTGTTTCTTTCCCCCCACCAAATTTCTTCAGAGAAGGTCCCCTACAATACTACTGAATATAATCTTCTTTCAGTGTTGTCTTGTGCTGTTGTTTTTGTTGCTAAACAAATCCCCACCTTGTATTTTGAAAAAGTTGGACAAAGTAAACATTATAGAGTGTCTGGAGTTCATCACTTTGAAAGGTGCTATAAAAAAAGTATATCATTGGATTTTATAGCATGCACTCTTAAGAGATACAGCTGGGCATTTAACAGATTTTCTTAGCACTGGTTCCCATTAAAGACAAGAGTATGACGTAAAAGATTTTTTTAGTCCACCATGTTTCACATTTGTGAAAACATTCCCTTATTTATCACTTGTGTAGTGTCTGAATGTCTTTTGTAATTGCACTGCTGTGCATCTCCCAGTTTAATCATAAGTACGTGTCACACTACCACATATTCTGTCCCTTCAGGTTGCTTAAACACAAAATGATCAGTGACATATTTCAATGCTATCTATGCCTTTTTTGAAGTTTAATTTGGAAGAATCTTTTTATATCTCTGCTGCACGAGTTCTTTCCATTTATTTTGAAATTCAGCTGAAATCATATCTTCTTCTCCTTACCCTGTAACATTTAATTTGTATCTCTTCTTCCACAATTAATTTACCATTTCAACAAGACTTGGCAAGGCATTATGGATACTGCTGATATGAAACTATTAGTGCAAAAAAAGGAAGTTGTAATGTGAAAGGTTTTTTTATTTTTTTTAAACAGGCTGCAGGAATGAACCATATCATATGCTGCTCTGGGTTTAGGTTAGCGTCCCATTGCTAACAACGTCTTCTCTTACATAATGGATAATACAACTAGAAATACCTCTTTTTTTTCTTTTTTTTTATTTTAAATGCCATCCTACCTTGTATCATGATCTCCCAGAAATCAGCTAAGGCTTTATCTTCCACCTTTGATTTCAGGGCCTGCAGAAAGTCATTAAAGCACTGCATCTTGGACAGCTGAAAAAAATAACAGCAATGATAACAGAGAAATATTAAAGTAGCTTACTAAGGAGTGCTACGAACTTAGTTCTTCATGAAGTCATCTAACATGGTGAACACAAAAGTCAGTACAGATTTTGGGGCTTATCTCTACTAAAAGCAAGAGTTCTAAGGAAAGGGGAGCCACAAAAACTGCCTTTCAGAAAGCTAGAAAGACTTTTTTGCAACTAACTTTATTTAAGAAGAAATTTGCAGGATTGCTTATTTTTCTTTCACAAGCAGGTCAGAGGCCTTGTGTTTTCATCTTTAAAAGAACACAAAGAAAAGCAAATAATACCAGAGAACCTAGTCCCCGTTCCAGTAAGAATAAAGAAATATAAAATGCAAATAGATTTTGAAACTTGCAAACAGCATAACAGATTTTAATCTACGAATCAATTCTTTTTGCTGTAGCAAGAAATTATCAAGTTTCTACTACAGCAAATAGGCCCATCATGTCTCTAATTTGAAAAAGCTGAGAATTTTCACATATTAACATTACCTTAATAGCCTCCTCTCTGAAAACTCTGATACAATTGATCCCTTTCATGTAGTACTGTGAACCTTTATTTTCCAGAAACTGATCAATGCGGTTTATCAACTGCTGACTCACTGAAAGACAAGGAGAAATAAATAAATCAAAGAATGCACACTTTCAAGGCAAAAAAAATTTTTCCTTTACATCTCTCTTGTTCTATTCCACAGGCATCAAGAGATAATCATACCCATACCACCTCAAGCTACTCAAGTTGATAATTGTTATCTAAGCCACTGACAATTACTTCAGCCTCTCTGGAAAAGACAGATATACTAGGAAGAAACACAAGCATAGACAAGGCAAAAGTCTTCCCCTGAAAGCCAAGAAAAAAAAACACTGGCCTAGCTTTTTTGATAGAAAGTAAAACCAGAATATTTTGGATCCTGTAAGCTGAGAGAGGTTTGTTCTACAATGCAAAACATATCTGCTAAACATCCTTTGAAATACAGGCCTATTTCAATAAAAGCATTAAGTTTACAATGAAGGTGTAATATTGTCAAAACAACAGCTGTAGGGTGATTGGAGTTAAAAGACTACTTTGTTGTTATTGACATTAGAGTATATCTTGTCTCTGTACAGGAAGTTTGATGGTTTTTCATCAGGGCAATGCTGTTCATGATTATGGAGATAAGTATTACAAACTGTGCATGCCTGACAAAAGAGAAGCAGAGGCAAACAATGAGACTTGCACCAACAAGAAGGGTAACACCAGTTTCATCCTCACTGTTGAGCTCCTCAAAGGTAGGCAGCTGTAAAACACTGCAAACCTGACAAGGGAAAATGTCACCAAGAGCTCTACAAGCCCAACTAAATTCTGCTGGATTTTAGTACTTTACTTTCTTCATGTTTAATTACAGGTGAGGAACTGTCCAATTTTACCCTCTGGCAGACACCTCAGCCTGGGAAAAGACAAGAGTGAAGGGCATACAGCAGTGATCTATAAACTCAGAAGCACTCTGAAAAGGATGAATAGGCAATGATAGTCCACTGCCTCTCTCAAAACAAGAGCAAAGACTTGAGTTAAAAACAAATAAAAAAAAAAAAGCACCTCTTCAAACAAAACCAGTTAACCTCTTTACTACAGGTTGCTGTGCAATGCTGCAAGTTTTAACAGCTTAAAAAATGCTTGAACAAAGTCTTAAGAGAGTTCTTAAGAGAATTCTTAAGAGAGGAACTCTATCAGGACAGATTAAAGATAATGTTGCCACTAAGGAAGAAAATGCAGGAAAGCATTCTGGACAAGTCACAGTATCTGCCTGTCCTGTTCTGGTATTGTTAACAAGACTGGTTACTGGATTACCTTTAGCCTGACCTATAGCCCTTCTTATGTTCAGATGTTATGGGCATATATGTCACTGCAACTATTTCAGCCATGGAAACATCAACATAGAAAATCATCATAAGTAAACACACTGAGAAAGAGACATCGTTTAAATACTGTATTCCACTCTGCTCACTGGAAGCATACACAGTACTAGCTGTTCTATTTATGTTTCATAAAATGCCGAACTGAATCTGAAGGACAGCATCTCTGAAAAGAGTGAAACAAGACATGCTTGATATTCTCCCATTAGCTTTTGACTCCACGGTTTTCTAGAAAAGGAGGTAGATGTTCTGTCCAACAGCAGCTATCACACAAGAAAGCGTGCTAAAGTGCCTGCTGCTCCAGAGGTGATCAGCTTCACTCTTTTTATTTGTTTTACCAGTAGCTGACAAACTAAATTGAAGTCTCACTACTTAAGCTCCCCAAGTTAAGTCAGTCCATTTTTTTCATGGTTAATGATTTTCTCATTAAATGTTCTAATTTCTCACGAATTGTACTAGTAAAAGCAAGTCCTGCTGGTGTTTTCAGTGCTGGTGGTGGTGTTTTTTAAACGCTGCTTTTTCATTGATGTGTTAAATTAAAACCCCAGGCACTATGAGGGTGCAATAAAAGTCTTTATTGTCAGAATGATTCCAGAATACTGTTCAAAATTATCAGACACCCTACTACTTTTGCATTTAATTTTTTTTAAATCCTTTTCCATTTCATTGCACTGGCAGGCATCAGAAGAAAAGACTTCTTCTTGCTACTGACTGTGAACTGCCTCCTTTTGAAATCTGTTGTAAGGAACAGAAAAAAACCCTACAATGTTCTACTAGGCACTGAAAGACCATAATATACGCAGAAAACAGGTTATGTGGCAACAATATTTTAAGACAGATTCTCCCAATATGTTGAAACAGCCTGGCTAAAATTGGGTCTGTCCATCAGGTCTCCCTCAAATGACAGGCCAATGATTGATGAATCTAAAACAGATAAAATTCCCGTGTTCTGACTAGACCACCAAGTCACTTCAGGGAGCCAAAGACACTCTGATATGCCCCAGACAAATCTCAGGCATTGGGGTTTTGAAGAGCAGGTCCTAGAGTTACAAACTGACAGCCTTTTCAGGCCACTACTGTGTAGTAACAACTTGTTTTCTTCTCCCCCAACATCCCTCACACACATTTAAGGAAGTGAAGATAAATTGGAATTCCAGCACTACTAATAACCACCATGTTTTGCAGATCATACCAAGAAATTTTTATCTTCTGCTTCCCTCTTCTACCATACCCAACTGGTTAGATAACAAGCACAGTGAAAAAAGTTTGGAGAACTACAGGTAAAAAATTAAAAATTAAAAAATCTTGGAATAGGAGATCTTTTAGTTTTAACAGAATTTAGTCCCTTCCCCACTGGCATTCAAATACATTTTCTACTCTAAAATACATTCACCAGTGCTGTTATTTCTTGTGAAATATGTCATGAACAATTATATTCACTTTTTATCCCTGAACAGTTGCAGTACAAAAACGCAGTTATATTTTCATGTTTTTTCAGCTCAGTCCTTGGTCTTGATTACTATGCCAACCAGATTAAGCATAATAATAGACAAAGCTGTATTACAGTCCAAATTCCATTTCCTTGGGGATTCCCTCTCCCCTCTAAAAAATTCATCAGGTTAAAAAAATAGCTCTTTCTGTAGATAAAAGACTCCTGTTGTTACCAATCTTTTGGTTTATCCACTGGTGGTAATGATTTGTATTAATGGACTTAAAGTAAGTCACTGACAAATCAGTTAAACAACCTGATGATAAATTTTAAACTACTGCTCTGCAAATACCATCTTTTTGTAACTGAAAAGAAGAAAGAAATTATAATCAGAAAACTGTCCTAATTTTTTAAGGACCTACTTCACCTTTAAGCCAAGAAATAAGAATTTTAAGATCAAGAGCTGTTGAACTACTCCAGTGTCCTATAAGGTGCTTTTCAATTTTGATTTGGTCTCTCTAAATGGCCTGTGGGTATTGATCAGAATGATTTGGGCTGGATGTCTGAAGGACATCTGGTCAGTCCAAATCCCCGCTTAAACCAGGGTCACTGTGGGTCACTTTGGATCAGGTGGCTCAATGCTCCACTGACTTGAGTTCCAGGTAGTTCCAAAGATGGAGAGTCTCCGAGTTCCCTGGGCCTGTCTTTCTATGTTAGACTACAATCATTGTGCTTCTTATATTTGTTTTCCCCATAACATCTAACCCAAATTCTGTTTGTTGCAACTCGGAGCTTTGCTTCTCACCTGATTGCTATGCCCTTCAAAGACAAATCTGGCTTCATCTTCTTTGGGAAGCAGACGTACGAGAAACTTCAAAGTGATTTTATATACTCAAGTATTTGGTTTACAAATACTCTTCCAATGATTTTCATTTCATTCCAATCATTTTCATCAAACCAATCATTGCATTTGGCCTACCTAGCAGTATAGCATGAATAGTCTCCAAAATACACAAAAACATCCAGTAAGATAAAAATGCAAAGTCATATGTCAACAAAAAGTGAACTTAAATACTAGTTTTTTTAAAAATATATCTTAGGTCTAGAAAGAGACATTTCTAAAGAAAATCTTGCAATAAAATACCACCCTCATTGCAACTGTCTAATAAATTCCCATTGCAAATCTCTTATTCACAATTCTTTTATGCCCACAAAGCATCCAGTGCAAAACTGGTGTTTTACATTTTATTTAAGAAACTATCTACATGCCATGGCAAAAGTGTGACACCTCAGGCACAACAGAATATCTGCTGACATCTACATGAGCAATTACTGACTCTTATTTTTCTAGAAATGCCTAGGAATAAAAATATTAACAAACTTGCTCTAAATACAAAAATAAGTGTTTGGCACAATTTGTCTCTGGACATTTTTTCTTACGTCCATAAACTGTAAGGTTATCATTGCAAATTTCTCTCTTCACTGACAATCAGGTAAATAAAAAAAGCTCTTCCCACTACAGGACTTCAGACATCAAGTTCTCAGATAGGAGTCCTGTAAGATGCAATGAAATCTGGCCTATAAAATTGCACAGAAAATTTACAATCAAAGAAAATATTATGCATGTCAGTATCTTTTTTACCCCACGTGAAGCCATCTTATCATCTACAGAAGTGTACGAAAACACAACACCCCATATCAGACACCTTCTGCTCTCCAGAAATGCAGACATGGATGGAAATCTGTAAATAGTCAAACAGGATGAACTGGTAGTCATGTGGCTACTCCTCTGGCATTACAAAGATGGCCAGCACTCATTGCATTTGAGAATCTTCTTTGCAGCCACAGCCATGAAGAAACTCATTGTACACCCTTGGGAGTAACGATTAGATTCCACTCAGGCAAACTAATCTATTTTATTTGCATTCATTGACAAAAATGTCGGAACCTGTTGTCAGAAGACTGCTCTTTGTGATGACTGTGCGCTTGTAACCTGTTCAAATTAAGACCTGCATAAAATGACATCTCTCTGGCTATGAATGCAAACAAGAAAGTAAAGATATCTGGAGGGGAAACACAATACTAGTTATATGAGCAATCAACACTAACCAGTAAGCTGACACCCTCACACACAACTCATCACATAAGCCATAAGTGGGTCCCTACTGTAATAAACTACACAGACGTCAATTAAAAACAAAGTTGATTACTGTTTCAGGAATTGAGCTGCCAGTCTCAGAAAACTTATCCCTAGGGCCCTTACCAATTTGAAACCCTCAGATTTTCTATAAAAATGTATTTACACATTAGTGACCCACTTCTCACTAACAGTGAATGCATCGTTTCTCCTGCTCTGGTCTGCGTGGGACCCAGCATTCAGACACAGGCTGACTTGCACATAGGCTTCTCCACTGAACAGCACAAACCCTGATCATCAAATCCCAGTGAGGCCACTGCAGGATATGCATTGGTACTCATTTTTCATGATAAATATACCTTCAGGACTTCCTACAAGCTGTTTAGAAGAATTTTAAATTTTTTTTTTTAAAATCCCTTGTCATATTTTGGTCTTGATAACTTCATAATTTTGGTGAGACACTTGTTGTGGACTGAAGAGGATGTGTGCAATTAACCTGCAGCTTAATTAAAAAGCCACTGTACTGTCAGTATTTAAAGTACAACTCTTTCTACTGCTAGAACTTCTCTATCTACCAAAAAAATCCACCCTCAAGGAAACAGTTGAAAGCCCTTTCCCCTCCCTATGGGAGGGACTCTGTTGCTATTTTGTGGGGAGGGAGGAAGAAGGAATTGCTGCCTTTTTTAGAAAGAGAATGTAGGTTCTATTCAGTTTGGAAGACTACACTGGATGCTCTTTTTATACAAGAAAGAAGCAAAACAGGATGCAACCTAATAGTTCACCTGTCTGCATCCTGACACATATAATGTAATTGTGGAGTTTTTTTTCCAATAAGGTATTTGGATGTCACAGATTATCCTTTCTTGCAAAGACTTTTTACATTTCACATGTTGTAGCAGAGGAAAAAAAAGTTTCATCACTAAATGACATTTATGTGACACACAATTATATTTAAAAAAACCCCTTAGAACCACTGAATAGTTTTAAGGCAAAATTTACTATTCACATAACCAGAATGCAATACAGCAAGCCATTAAAAACACACCTGTAATGTTTTATGTATTAAGCTACCTAAAAGCCTCTAAAGCAGAAGAAGGATTATGCAGAAGAAAAAAACAATATGCAGAGCATGTTTTTATTTATAGCGGCTTTTCTCCTTTAAATGGGTGACTGCACTACATTCTGTCTAACTATACCTTATAATTAGAGCACAGATCACATGTAAAATAAGAGCAGATTGCTCACAATTTCAGAAGCCATCCAAATGTGTTCCGCAGTTATCTCCAGCACAGCTACCAAGCAGACATATTTAAGCACTCTTTAGCTAAACCATCTTCAAGGGTAATCACTACACTTAGTTCTGCCTTAAAGCCTTCCTACATGATAAAATTAATTACCGTAACAAAGTAGTCAGCTGTTTCAGAGTTTCTGCATTCTAATATATTGTACAATGCTTTTTTACTGCATTTTAATATATCTGAGACTTGAGAACACAATTCCAAGTATTTTTTCAATAAACAATTTCTTCTGGATCCAATGCAAAATCCATGTAAAAAGCTGGCTAGCTGGCTTATAAGTCTGGAAATTCTGGAGAAAAATAGCTATGTAGGCTTTAACAGACTGTATCACAAATCAATATACTACTCAACACTCTCCTCAAACTATATCCAAAAGGACCAAAGGCCTTGTTGAAATACCCAGCACCTCACTTCAGCACCTCTGCAAATCTTTTTCTTTGAAAAGAAGAGCTACAATAGTGGCTATCGGGCAGATGAGGTTTATCTTGCCAAAACCTTCAAATCATCCTTTAAAAGAAAAAAGGACCCCATCCATCTTGTGTGTTCTTTTTGGGATACCTTTGGATTACATATATCCCTGTATAGCTATTCCAGTAGGGAAATGCCATACAAACAAATGATAATTCGTTTGCATTTTCAGACTTAGGGCATGGAAGACAGTGGCTGACCTGTGCTTTGTATTTTTCCTCACCCCTGCATCAAAACCCTGTCTTGCTGTACACTGAGAATAGATCCAGTGCACACATTCTGCCTTCATCATTAAGAGTCACATACTACCTGCTTATTACACCCTAAATTCATCCATGCTTTCTTTTGCTCACAAGCCGTAAGAAGTTACCTTTGCATGTAAAGATTTAAATCCCAGGCATCAGATTCTCATTTCTTCATAGAACAGAATAAGTAGACAGTAGAAGACAGGTTTCTCACACTGTGCACAGCCAACACTCCTCCACTTCAAGCCAGAAAGATTCCATGAAGCCAAATGAGAAGCTGATCCCCAGTTTGAATGAGGCAGTCAGTACCAAGGGATCTCCTGTTACAAACACGTGAAGAGTTGCTCTGATGCCTCAATATAGCTCATCTTACACAGACAGAGGTATCCGAGACTTTCAAACAGGGAAGGCAAAGATTGACGTGGGAATTACAAGTGACACCTTTCCTTGCTGAGTGGCACTAGAAGCTAAGCAGTAAACTCCAGAGCATCTCACATAGCACTAGGAGCTTATGTTTAGACAAATGGATTGTATTTACTGAACCCTGAAGATGCTACTAAGTATAATTAAGATAGATAAAAGTAATTTACCATCTCTGAAGTCAGCATTTTTCTGCCTCACCAGAGTTCGGAAATCTTCTGCTGGGTTAACACTGCCAACCTACAAAAGGTACAAAAATGATACAATCACCTGCCAATATCCATCTTTCTATTCTTGCAAAGCAACAAGAATCTTTAAATCTCTGTTTATTTTAACATGGAAACAGAAGCTCTACAATTCTCTGCATCCGGACTCATAAAATTAAAGTCTTACAATGTATGTTAATGCGCAGTACTCCTACCTAGCAAAGGTTAGTTATGACATGAGCAAGATGAACTTACACTTACTATGATGCACTCTTATAAGCCAATTATATTCTCTGGGATTTAGAGGTCAGAAGCACAGTAATTGAGGCTATTTGCTCGTTCAGCTTTGAGACTTTTTGTAGCACAGACCTCTCACTAGTCTTGACAGACACTTAATGAGGAGTGGGAGCTCCCAGACATGTGGGTACAGAATCACTGGTGTTTGCCACTCCAATAGGAAGCTCAAAATTAAAAGCTTGCACTCAATTCATCTACCCCTTCTGGCCCAGTCTGACATTAGAGCTGAAGCTCTAAATGGGCATACAAAAGCAGAAATCTTACAAAGGAACTAAAACTGAGTCAAATATAAATAAACATCTACTGAAAAACAAATGCAATAACTTTAAAAAAAAAATTACATTGCTTCACATTTTGTCCTGGTTTCAGCCAGGGTAGAGTTAATTTTCTTCATAGAAGCTAGTGTGAGGCTATGTTTTGGATTTGGGATGAGAAAATGTTGATAACGTGCTGATGTTTTGTGTTGTTGCTAAGTAGTCAAGGACAGTCCAGCTTCTCAAGCTGGCCTGCTAGCAAGAAGGCTGGGGGTGCCCGGGAAGCTGGGAGGGGACACAGCTGGGACAGCTGACCCATGTTGACCAAAGAGATATTCCATTACCACATAACGTCATGCTCAGTAGATAAAGCTGGGACGAAGAACAAGGAAGGGGTGGAGGGACATTTGGAGTGATGGCGTCTGTTTTCCCAAGAAACCATCATGCATGATGGAGCCCTGCTTCCCTGGAGATGGGTGAACCCCTGCCTGCCCATGGGGAGTAGCGACTGAATTCCTAGTTTTGCTTTGCTTGTGTTTGTGGCTTTTGCTTTACTTATTAAACTGTCTTTATCTCAAACCATGAATTTCCTCACTTTTACTTTTCGATTCTCTCCCCCCATCCCATCGTGAGGGAGTGAGTAAGCGGCTGTGTGGGGCTTAGTTGCCGGCTGGGGCTAAACCACGACACATTTCCTTTCAGAAACCAAAATTCTCCTAAGTTTATTTGAAAAGTTTATGCTTTGCTGTCAAAATAATTCTCCAATCTTTCTATCAGCTTGCTTGGTCTTTTCATGTTTCTTCTAAATCTGGCAATGCCACTTTTCAGGAAAAATCAGAAGTGTATGTTAGGAGTAAAAAAAATATTTAAGTCTTTTTAGATTTTAAATATTTTCAAAAATCTCCATCATGCATTTTAAAAAACAACCTTAAAGGATAGTCTGAAAATAAGTGAAGCTATCTCAATTAATACTAAATCACCGTTTTTCCTGTAATTCAAAAAATCAAATAACGGAAGGTGCACAGTTATGATACAGGCTTCATCTACCCATGTACACAATATCTGGAATTAAGCTAGACGTTTAACCTATCAGCAAGATGAAGCCGAATTTGTGATTTAGAACCCCAACCAATGCAGAGAAGAGTCTCTAAAATCACAGCAATACATCTGATTAAATATACAGACGCAACTTCTACATTGCAGATGACATGAAAGAGAGCAAGAACAAAAGTCAACCACTGAACCCCAACTCTGAGATTCCATTTTCTTCAGATCCTCAGGCTTGCCCTTTAGATTTCTAGACACGGAGGGAGAATTTTGCCCTCAAATATCCAACACTGATGGAAACTTGTGCTAACATACACCTAAGGGCAGAGGAAGTTGTCTTTACAATCTCAGCAGAGAGTTTCAAATCTACAAGTAGACAATATTTCAGTCACGTTTTAGCTAGAAACTGTCTTTTTATCAGGAATGCTGTATATTCACTATAATACATTACAGAAATTAATCTTCCCCTTTGATAATCAGATTTATAAAAATATACTTACAGAGGTGACATTGCCTTCAGAAAGTTTTATGATGCTAAAGCTACCTTCCTCATCTTCAGTTTTTGGTTTCTTAGAGGTGGATCCATCTTCACTGCTGCAAATGAGAAGGACAAAAATGAATGTAAACACATAAACTGTCCTGCCTACTAAATAGGGATTCAGTAAATTAATGAAATATACACTGAATGCCGGACAAAACTTCATTATACAACCTAAACTAATTTTTCCCCACAGGCTGCACAAAGCAGACAGTAGAAACAGAGATCAAACTTCATCTTAGCTTAAAGTAAAGGCACCGCTTGTTGACACTGCAAGATTATTCATGCTTATTTCAGGAGTGGGTTTACTCATGCAGACCTTCTCTACCTTTCTAAATACAAAATATCTCCAGTGACTTTACTTGGAACCTGTATAATGAATTAACCTTGATAATTTACAGTATATTACATAACATTTGGTATTCTCACCAGATCTTCTTAACATGAAATGGCAATGAAACTTGACATTTAAGTAAGAAATTAATTTACTCTTCAAAAATTACCTGCTAGTTCCTGTCTAGGAATTGATAGCTACCACAAATCTGTTTACACAGCAGCTTTTGCATCTAATGACCCATATTGTCCATCAGCACACAAGAGCTTTATAAACTTCCACTTAGAGCACTCAAAACCTGCTAGACAAACCCCAATTATGTATGTAAGAACTCTCTTAGGACATTTTAAGCTCCATCTCAAAATGCTTTCAAAAGACAATTTGTTATTTTTAAAAAGCTAACTGTGATTTTAGGCTACTTTCTAGCTTTGCCCTCACAGATAACATATAGCAAGGTGTACATTCAAACCAGGAACTTAATTGTAACATCTAACGTGCCAAACTTTAGAGCACTTCTTGGCAGCAGAAGAAAATCCAGCTAATCACAAAAGGGGAAGATCAGACACTGTGTTCTACGTCACTTAACGTGACAGGCTACTGACAGGGAAGAATTGATTTCAGTTTAAGAATGACTGAGAGCTACTTGGTGATCTAAATGGCAGTATTTGTGTTCAAGGAATCCCAAAACAAAGAAAGAAGTTTTTCTTAAAAATTCTACTACTGCAGCAAAAAGATGATGTAAGAGATCCTGGACTAGGTGCCATTTTACATTCTACAAGGTTAGAACCGATTTTACAAATTGCATTGCATGTTACAGAAGCAATCAACTATTAGAAAGAACTTGTACAGTCTTCCTTTTTACCTTCTAGAGCACAGTCCTCCCCTACTTTACAATCTGTATCTAACCCACTTTGTTTCCGTAGTCTTCTCAGTCCTTTACTTAATTTTATCACTACTGAAATTAAATCCCTTCTCAGCAACTCCTGTCATCCAGCGTAACCTTCCTTATCATTCTAGGAGAAATGATGACTTTGGTTATGCCTCAGGACAAGGATAGGATTGCTTCACTCTCAACTGTGCCAACTTTCTGGCTGACCTTGAAAAAGTTGCTTGATTGCTCTGGACAGCCCATATGCTGTAGTATATAGAAGTCGTCTGTAGAATGAAGAAACTGATACTTAACGGATAACACCAGTGAGTTTAGAACTTCTACTTGAACCAAAATTCTTGTATACGGACATGGTTTGATAATGGTGAAAAGAACAATGAAAATTCTCCGTTAGAATATTTTTCTCCAAAGGTGTTTTCCACTCAATTGCAATGTCTTGCAATCTTTTTCCTCCTGCATTATTTTTACTGATTCAAAATGCGTTGGGATTGGAGAAAGAAGGAGAACATAAATGATGATGCTGCATTTAACTACCGAGAACCAAATCTATGGCTGTCATTAATCAGTGCAGTACAGCAGAAATTAATGAATCCATACACATTTATACCTGCCAAGGATCTGACATTTAGAATCTGTAACTGGTAATGCACTGATTAGCAGTATTTTTAAACTGTAAAACATGCAATTACTATTTGAGAAAAATTAACAAAACCCAAGATTAATTTAAAACACCTACTTCTACATTTCTATAGAAGCCTCTTACATACTGCAAAACTGGATCAGGTAACAGTCTCTCCAAAGCCAACTTAAAAAAGTAATACTTTACAGAATTTTTGAAACTACAGAGACCTTAACAAAAGTGAAAAAAATGAATGCTGAATATTAAAATCTGAAGTAAATATCATGTCTATATTTATGCTGCCTTAATCCCATTAGACCTTTAAAAATTAAGCAGAGATGGATCATGTCAATATGATAGGAGACACAAATCAGTTTTAGAAAACAAAAATAATGGTCAAGAGAGCTTCTAGCCTCTTTTCAAAATGCCTGAGTGCAAAATATCTAGATCTGACAGTTTTAATAAGTTGAATGTTACCTAGCATCTAACATTTTCCTTAGTCATTGTTGCAGTGATGTACTTTCCTTTATCAAGTGATTTAGTTATGTCACTCAGCTTTTCCCCAAACACAGAACAAAAACATAAAGTTAACACTTCTGTCGTAGTACTGACAACACTACTGTTGCCATTCATTACTACAGCAATACCATTTTAAAATATTTTTTAATCCTATTACCATTCATTATTCTTTGCATAGTTGAGTCTGTATCCTTTTGCCTCCCTTGCAGATTATTTTTTAAATCATTTTAATGCCTAACACCAATTTCTTCGTGTGTTTCATTCTTTTTCAAATATTTTTATAGCTGCTTTCATCACCCCTCTAAAGGACACCAGTTTTTAAACAAAATAGCTTTCCTTCTTGCTTATCAAACTGATGCCTTTAGGGCAATATGTTTTTAAGCAACTACCAGCAATGGGTCCCTGGTTTTTGTTTAAATTCCCTCTCTAGCTTCTTTGAACCCAAGTTTTTTTTTTTAAACTGGTTCTATCACTTTTTAGAATACACATATAAACGTATGTATGTACACACACAGAGAATCTGGGGCACAGAGCAAGGACAAGATAATTTAATCAGTATGAATTCACAGAAACACCAGGGCAAGACAGGCACACACAGCAAAGAACAAAATAAAGAGCAAGGCATTTCCCAGTCTGTATACAGAAACATGCTCATTATTCCAGAGCAGTAATGTGAGAAGTCCTGTGTCATGTGTTCCCGAAGACAACATGCTGATAAGGCTCTAGCCAACCCAAGGTAAAGGATATATAACAGCTCAGCTAAGCAAGGCCTCAAAATGGCTCAAAGTCATTGTTCCTACCACTGAAAGCACTGGGCTAAAAATGACAAAAGGGAGGGAGAAGGATCTGAGAAGTCTCGAATATCCCAGGGGACCCACTACTTATATTCTAGGCATTCAATAAATGAAGGTCTAAGAATCAGATTTTGTTTGAGCAAATTGACTTGTGGCAGGGGTGACAGTACCAATGCAGTAGCAATCACACATTTATTCTTCATATTTGCAGCACAAATAAAGTAAACACAGTATATGTAATAACAAAAAAACCCACCTGTTCAGACAATAGATGTTCCTGGAAAAGTCTATGACAGTTTGATTTTTCAAGACATCCATATTTACTGCACAGCAGATAATAATGAAGCTACTTTTCTTTTGATTTGGAATTCAAAATGAAAGCTACAGAACAAACTAAATCAAGCATGCTGAAAACAGACAGTCATCTTTACAGCTAATTTAAAGCTCTGCAGCATTTATTTTAAACTAAATCAGACATTCTGTTATTCTTATTTGAACTATTTTATAACTACCAGTAGGACAAACTGTTTGACCAGGAGAGAGTAAGTAATGCAACAGGTTGCTCAAAGCAGATGTGCAGTCTCCTTCTCTGGATGTTTTCAAGACCAGACTGGATGAAGCCCTGAGTTACCTGTTCAGATCTCATAGGTGACCCTGCTTTGAGCAACAGATTAAACAAGAAACCTCCTGAGGTCCCTTCCAACCTGATGGATTCTGTGACAACAAATATAGACATGAGGAAACTACAAACTGGTTCCTCATGTGTCTTGCCCCATAATAGTAACACCACCACTATTCACAAGATACCCCAGACATACTGTGGTACCACAATATTTTCCACTCATCAGTATTTTTTCAGTATGTAATTCATTGATCTTATGTTCAAAAGACTCTAAGCCTGCTTCATGCAGCAAAAACAATCTGAAGTGTCAAAAAAAGTTTCCAAAAAATCCATAATACATCTCCAACTTACTTGTCTTTGAAGATGTCTTGAGCAGTCTTCTCTTCTTTTTTCTTGCCAACTTCCTTTAGGGGGAAAAGTGCTTTTACTTTCTCAAGAGGAGCCTGACACCTTTCTTTTACCACAGAGGGCATCTCTAGCATCTCCAAAAGTTGCTGTTCAATTGGTGGCAATGGCTCACTGGGGTGAAAAGCCTTATGCTGCAAACACTGCAAGAAACAATTTGAACAAAGACAAACTTCTAGTTTATGTGTATGCCTGACAAGTGTTTATGTGTTAAATATGTTATATTTATACCATACAGGTATACGTGTATGGTACAAGCAAAGTATCTTCCCTCTTAAAGAAACTACCTTCATATTGCTGAAAAATATTCCAGCTCACAAGTGGATTTAAAGTCATATAATCAGCCGTTTAAGGAGAATAATAATGACATTAAACAAGAATACTGATGCAGATGAGTGTTCCCACACTCACTGGAATTGAGTTCTATGAAAATTATTAGGAAAATCCCAGGAATGAGTCACCTGCATCTATTCAGCTTCTTAACTTCACTTTACCTTTAAAATGCAGTTGTATTATGAAACAGTCACATGGGAGAGATTTTGATACATTCCAAAATTAGGTAACGAGATATATACCCCAACCATGTATTCCAGTTTTTGTTATAATTTATTGTCCCTCAAAAGAAAATATTTCTTCTTGGTCAATAAAAACTCAGTATGCACAAAAGAGAAATTTTCACCAGTTTAAGAGCAAATGGAAAGAAAGAAGTTAAATGTGCACAGGTGAGGCACAGAATATACGTAAGTTTGCAAATTAGCTTTGAAAAAAGTCAGGGAATGAAGCAGCCTGACAGATGTACATCAAAGCTGGAACAGATGGTAGGAGCTACAGAGGAGAAGACTTTTTCACCAAAGTGTAAAGACAGTGCACACAGTCAGGGAGCCAAGCAGAGGGAGAGAGATGAAGTTAAGAGGCAGACTACAGAAATTCCACTGAGAATTTTAAAAACAAAGTAGGTATCTCTTAAATGTTGTGAAGTGTGGGATAGCAGTACAGATGTATGTGTATGTGCATATATATACACAGATACCAGTGCATGCACACACATATGTACATAAAGACACATGGTACTTAGTGGGAGAGTAATTTTTCCAAGCCCATTGTACTAGGTGAATCAGACACAAGCGTGAAAGTAAATACTCAGTAAACTAGAAATATAGCAGAGATTTGCTCCCCTGTTGGCTGTCAGACATTACATTAATTTAAAAAACAAAACCAAAGCAAACAAAAAACCCTTCCATTCATAATGAAAAGCTGCCAATAAAGAAAATCCAGACCATATGCCACACATCAATACTGATGCGCTTTCATGCTGCCATTAAGATTCCAATCCATATTAGAGAGTACTTTCAAAAGGAGGCAGTCATACAAGGCTACTGATTTGGAAACACTTGTTATGATTTAAGGCATAATTATTTTGAAAGAGAGAAAAAAGGTTGCTGGAAGCTGCAGTAATGGCTCTTGTGATACAAAAAACCAATATTAAAACAACATTAGGGGATTGAATTAAACTCAAAGTCCCCTGTTGTGAATGTATTTTTCAGGCTTTTGCATCTGAAATATCTATGTGTGCAGCTGCAAGAGCTGAGCAGACTGAGTAGCAACAGCCTCCACTTGCTCCTGTTTTTAGAGTAGAAGATGACCTCTGAAACCTGAGATAGAGGTACCATCAAAACTCAGGTGCTAAATGGAGATGAAGTTGAACAGACTTAACCTGAAATTTCTAATCCCAAACAGTCCCTGTTAACTTTGCTTTCTCTTCCTTCTGTGCCCAGCAAGAAACACTCCTCCCTTCACTGGCTAGAAGGCAACCCACACTGCCACTGGCATCCAGACTCACCGTTCTATTCATGCATGTTGTCAGCAACGTACCAGCTCCTCCTTGTCTTTCCTAATTGCTTTACATTTCCAGCCTAGGCATGTAGCCAGCTTTCAGGAACAGGGGTCACACTACGATACTGGTCAATGGATGTAATGAAGTGCGCTTTTCACATAATTAATTCCATGATAAGCAATGGCATAAATGCATAAATAGACAGGAATTTACTGCAAGAAAGCCTTGTTCCCTTCCATACAGTATCTAGGAACACACTTTTGCTAGAAGATATTTTAGCAAATCTATAAATCCTACAGGAACCTGATAGTATTTAAAGTCTTAGAATATAGGAGACGGATTCAAATGTCTAAAAGATAAGCATCTTATCTATACCAGTCACTTGCTCACTCTACACTACACAACTACAACTATCATGTACTTAAGACCTCTGAAACAAGAAGGATCAATTACTGTCCTAAGGTTGTTCTTTCATGGATTATGGAATAGATTTGGACAACTCAGCTTAGACTAGTTAGCTAGCTTTAGAGTGGTTAAATGAATTCCAACACAAGTACCTTAGAGTTCCGTTTACATCTAGTTTGCGATGATTTCAACATTACCTTCCAACAGATTCACTACTTTCAACCAAAGGTAAGATTACTTGTTGCTGAAAGCCCTTCCACATTTCTGTGAGCTACCTCCTCTCTCCCTACTGCTCTGTTTTTTGAAAGAAAATCACTGTACAGTCCAACCATTTACAAATGAGCTCCATCATCGAATCATCATAGAATCTTTGGGTTGGAAGAGACCTTTTAAGGTCATCTCATCCAACTCCCCTACAATAAAAGCAGGGATATCTGCAACTAGATGAGGTTGCTCAGAGCCCCATTCAACCTGGCCTGGAATGTTTCCAGGGATAGGGTGTCTACTACCTCTCTGGGCAACCTGTGCCAGGGCTTCATCACCCTCATTGTGAAAGATTTCTTCCTTATATGTAGTCTGAATCTACCCTTTTTTAGTTTAAAACCATTACCCCTTGTCCTATAACTACAGGCCTTGCTAAAAAGTCTGTCCCCATCTTTCTTGTAAGCCCCCTTTAAATACTGGAAGGCTGCAATAAGGTCTCCCCAGAGTCTTCTCTACTCCAGGCTGAACAACCCCAACTCTCTCAGCCTGTCTTCACAGCAGAGGTGTTCCATCCCTCTGATCATTTTTGTGCAAGCACTGTGGACAGGAACTGTGTACTACCTAGTACACTGAACAGTCAATAAATACTTTTTCCACCAGTAGCATTCACCCTTATCAAATCCTAGTATCCTCTAAGGAAATTGGCTAGATTCTAGCAGCACTCGACTCAACTGCTGACACAACACCATCGTACTGTTTCAGAATACAAATGGCACACCTAAAGAAACATCTTCCATTGATAGGCAACATTCACTGAACCAAAAGAATGCAAAATTTTATCTAGCAATATAATAGGGGAAATTCTATCCTGTGTGTTTCATTTACAAGCAAAACCGTATTTGTTTTGTAATACCCAAGCTCTACGTTTCCTAAAATAAAGTCATGCAGAGGTCAATCCATTTTAAGCTCTTGCCCAGCAATGACCTTCTACTGATCAAATCTTGCATTCAGTTACACACTGCCTTGTCAATATGACTGGGAGAATTTGAAAGGTACACTGAGTTCTTCAGGTGTCAGTTGGGGTAGGATTTGAAGACAGTGGGTTTACATGTGTTCCTCAAACATGCATACGACCTTCAGATCCTTTGCTTCTTTTGACAACACTGAGGCAGCATGGCTTTTGGAAACCAGGCTAAGTTTTCTTAATTTAAAAAAGCATCATCTTCCTACTTCTAAACTGAAAAAAATTTCATTTGGAATTGCTGAGGTATGATGAATATGGTTGCTATAATACCATTTTTGGTCAATTTTCAGAGTGGAGTCACGCACTCAATATATCCCCATGACTCTGTATACAACACAATTCTACAGCTGCGTAAATCGCATCTTAATTTTCCTTATTTTTGAATTTGCTGTGTCTTTTTTTTTTGAACACTTAAATCCCAATGTATAATTAAGTCTCTCATCCTCACAGTTGCATAGAAAATCTTCACGATATGAAAGGAATGGAAATTAAAATGTAGACAGCTTGATATAGTAACTGCAAAAAGTGTGAACTGTTCTGCTCGCCCGTAAATGCGTCAGCTCAGACACCCAAATGGAGTATTTTAAATGCCAACAATGTTAACCATTTACTACTGATCAAGTTCACCTCACACTGATCTGTTTTGGAATCACTGTTAGATGCAACAATGCACAGAAAAGTGACTCTCCTTCAGATTTGATGGTACACAGAGTGAGGAGCTAAAGAGATCCCTGATTTTCAGTCAATTTCTCTCTTTGTTCAGCAGCTGAAGACCAACCCTATGTCCACACCATGACTGTGGCAATACAGTGTCAAAAACCCAAGCAAGTTTCAACTTGTCTAACCTAGGTGCCTGTGAATATCGCTGATCCTGTTGCAGACATATCAGCACAGGTGTAATTTCCCTTGTTTCCTAGAAAATTTCCTAAAATTTCCTGAGAAATTCTAAGAATAAAATCTATGTCAGGGACAACATAGAAATCACTGGCTATCCCATACTTATATGCAAAAGAATTTATATTCCCATCTTCACAATGTAGATCTTTCCAATGCGAATCAGAAAAAGACAGAAAGGTGAAAAGTCTTAATAAAAGAAGTTTTTTAAAATGCCATATAGTTTATCTCACCTGATATAACCTCTGAAAATGAGGGTTTGGGATTTTGCTGGGCTTGAACAGGTCCTCAAAAGTTTCTCCATCATCATCTTCATAAACCAAATTCATAGAATCAATCAAAGAGTCAACAGCAGATAACTGATCCGCTAAAGCAGCAATTACACACAAAGGAAAATTAAATACACTTGCAGGTGGATGCATTTCTTGAAACAATTTATAAATGAAGATTCACTTCACAGTGTGAGATTTTGACCAAGTCATTACATGCCACAGAATACACTGCAGATATACATGTGCCAATAAAGAATATGGATAATGGACACAGGAATAAAACCCCTGCTTTATTTAAGGACTATAATGTAAAGTCATAAAACCTTTCTTTTTTTCCCCAAGACCTCAATTATTGCTGCCTTTCTGCTTCCATTTTTCTTCCTTTTCAAGATGTTTTTATATGCAACAGAAGGTTTATAGGCCACTTAGAAAATAAGGAGAACAGTTGGTTTGAAAAACTAAATGGCGTAATATAAATTTTAGAAGTTATGATTGCAAATTAACACAGTTCACAATAGTCAACTACTGCTTTGGTAAAACAGGTTTTAGATTTGTTCTCAAACTGCTCATTATGGGCAAGAAAATAGAAGCTGTTCCAGAAACAACCCAGCATGCTTTATATATTATGTGCAGATGCCCATTCAATGGATTCCGTAACAAATTAAAGAAGTGGGAGCGGACTTGAAACTACACCGTTTACACTCATTGCTGTGCAAAATTCTCAGAACAGTGAGTCAAGCTTTGTATGGCTGCATGTTCTATGGCACTCCAATGACGCCCTCCGTCAGTGTCTGGACACCAGTAAGTGCATGCTTTAAAAAACAACACACTACAGAAAATACAGTCCTTGCCTTTGTACATTATATTAACAAGCCATACTGCAACTGGCTACAGGACCAGCTTTGTACAAACAAAGCTGATGCTTCTATTCTAATTTTAGCTAGCTAATCACATATTGTAGTGCTCTCAGAGTTTGGCCATTTGATTTAACAAATGAATTCAAAGATCAACAGATACGGAGGACTAAATCTCAGACGTCTCTCTCAGAGATCCTGTGAGACTAATAATCCCATAACTCAAGCAGAAGTCATTTAACAGGACATTTTTAAAATACTGCCTGCAAACCTTAAGCCTATTCAGTCTAAGTTTGCTTAGTTTTGATACAGGCTTTATACTTCAAGATGGCATCACCATAATGTATTCCCAGAGGGCTGTTTTGGTTTTTTCTAAGCCAAAATAATGCCAAAGCTTATGTGTTCACTGGAAACCCAAATATTCTAGCTCTTTTAGAGTGTCTTAAAGGAAGACAAGTAGGTTACTTTGTCCAGCTGCCCAGTGAAGGACTATCTTACCTGTAGGAATGCATTTTTTGTTGTTTTTCAAGGATGAAAATATGTACTGTCTTAAGTCTTCCATGTAGGGTAGTTGCACATAGATGAGACACTAAGCAAGACAAAAGAAGAAAGAAACAACTGAACCTGAACTTAAAAAAAAAAATCTAAAGTATCCCAAAGTGCCCTATCAGGGCAATATAAACATTATAAAAATCCAAAGATCTAATATCTGTGTATATCAAAATACTTAAAATAAAATATTTACAGAGCAACACAGTTTTAAGCAGAACGAAACACAGCATTATTATTATAATCTAGTGATAGCTACACTCCTCATTTTTCTACTAGTGGCATAAAGACCTCCCAGGTCATCCAATCCCTTTTTCTTGTGCAGAGTTCCAACCAGCCAAGCTTCAAACGCCCCATACATTGGTGCTTTGGGAGGTTTTATCACAGAGCTTACTGTGTTTCAAAGTCAAAAGCTGGTTTTGCCTTTTTAAGATTCTCAGCCTAACCTTTTCTTTATTCAAATACCTCCTCCAGCTCATACCACCCTAAATAATTCCTTTACATCCTTTATGTTTACATCCTTCGAAAGTCTGAAGACTGTTATATCCGCCCCCACCTTCGTCATTGCTTAGCCATGCTATACATTCTCAGCTCTTTCAATAGGTTCTCATAAGAAAGATTAGTGGAAACATATGCAGCAAAAATTCTGACATACTGCGTTGCTTCTGGGTGTCTCAGAATTTTAAAAAAAATATTTCAAATACAATTCTGCTCTGCACAGAACTTTCTTTTTTTCCTAAGAAACAGTCTTCATTTGCTTTCTCCTGTTTTTCAAAATAACCTTTTCAAGTAAATAAATACACTACTGTCTTCTTAACTCTCCATATGAATTTAAATAACAGCTTTAATGCTGTGAGCTCCTCCCCTCGGTTCCAGTTGACTTAGAAACCTAATGACAAGACTGTAGTTGGACATGCCTGAAATGCCATACCAACTATCAAATTCAAATTTTGTGCTACTCAGAAACCTGGAGATAAATCTGTAATTTAAGAAAATCAAAGAATCTACCACAACTTTGGATTGTAAGCGGAGTGATAGGTAGTAACACAGAAAGAAAGCAGTGGGTAATAAGTATGTGATTACACTGTTTCTAGACACCAAAAAAATTTGAGATTTCCAGGATAACAAAATGAAATTATTACTATGTTATTAAAATAAAAATCAGCATTATTTAAATCTGTAGTATAGAGAATACTAGTATAAACATATGGCATTATTTTTCCATGTATTTTTTCTATGGAATTTTCTTAATATTATTTATTACCTCCATGTCCTAAGACTTGGTACTGTTTCCTAAAATCACTCTGAAAAGTCACATTGGTTTCTTCTGATATTACATAACACTGCAAATTCATATGGTTCAAATATGACCATTTATTAATCAGTATTTGTAAAGCATCAATATGATGGCTCTCTACAGAAAGGTAAGGGTGAAAAATTACCTCGTATGCGTCCTTAATATACGGAAAAGCTACGCCAACTTGAGGGTTGCATCTTCTATCATAAGCATAGCGCACTATAGCTACCATTTGCATCTCATCCAATGCATGAACAAGGGCAGAAAAAGCAACTGCTGCGCTCTGAAGAAAAAAAAAGGTCTAGAGAGTCATGCACGGTCTCATTAGTCTGCTGAAATACATCTTTCATGGTGAATTCAACAGCACTGATTTAGTCAAGACTAGTCCCCATTTCAGCTATAACTTCAACACAAGCTTTTTTCATGTTCAAAAAATGAAGAAGCAGAAAGGTCAAATCTCATCATGATAGTGGAACCATTCAAAGCTGAGCAAACTTTAGATGCAGCACATTCCACCTTTTCTGCTAGGTGTGAAGAGCTCTCAGAAGTATTGAGAGAAAGGGAGGGAAGTCAGACTCTTAACACATCAGAGCACTACAGTGAGGTTTCTACCTCTAATGTTTAAAATAATTTGGAGGTCTGTTCTAAATAACACAGTGACAGGGCACACTGTTGCTCTGCATGAGAATGGACTTAAGCACCAATTCCAGGTTCCCCAAGCCCTTGCACAAGCATATTTACCAGTCGCTCATTATTAATGATATACGGTATTCATTTGGGGTCTAACCCAACTTGTTTTCATCCTAATGGGAAATGGAACAAGACCTCTGTAAGCTGCATTAAGAACATTTGTTTTATTAACAAAGAAAGAAGGGACAAGTTCAAGCACCTCTACTATTCTTTTCTGTTCCACAGCAGAACATCTTCAGCATTAAACTTCAGTTCACCTTACCTCATCATCTTTCGCTGCAAAGACCTTCAGAACCTGGTTGCCCATGTAGTAATGCCTCTGGATCTACAGATTCAAATCGTCAAGAGTTAGCCTGATCTAAACCAAATGTTATTAATGTGACTGCACCAATTAAATTATGAAACAACTAAGACATTATTCAACTGAGAAGCCTCAAAATTTGATTATTGTTCATAGAAGCTAAAGCCCTGTATGTTTCATATCTCCATTTATCACTCAGTATGGATATACAG